TCGAGGCCTGAGGAGGCTTTGCTCAGGTCAGCAGGGAGAGTGGTCAAGTTGAGTGCCCGAGGGAGGAATGAGGGAACCTGGGGCCACAGCACAGGGAACTCCACAGAATTCGGTCCTGCTCCTCTTATCAGTTTGCAGAGACCTTGGCAGATCTCTGAAGCTGAGACTCCCTCCATTTCTAGCTCTAGTGGGATCTCAGGGATGTGAGGTCTTGGACTGAGAAGGCCAATTTCAGGTCACCAGAGTGGAGAATGCCTGTCTTTGCAATCCTGCAAGTCGAGCACTTGGAGAGAGCAACCTGAGCAACCTGCCAAGAGAACACTCTGAGAGAGACATCTAAACATCCCAGAAGCCCGACTGCCAGCCTCAGCTATCCGTCAAGGCATGGGGATCTGGCAGTTGGGGTCTGTAGAAAGTTGAGGCCTTGATCTGAAGGGACAATACTCACATTAACAGAGGGAGGCCCTCCACTAGGAATCAGAGAGAATCTCAAGGTGGGACTCAGGGGATTGCCTATTCCAAACTGAGGGAAGCACACAGAAACCTGCCCATGTAATGAGCCATGGTGGAGGCCAGGCAGGAAGAGTTTCAAATGTGGTGCCCTTGCTTCTGGTCAGCAGAGGGAGGGGTTTCTAGATTATACCACTAGTTAATTGGAGAACCTGAGGGGAAATGAAGAAACAAACCATTCAAAAACTTAGAGTAACCTAGGCTCAAGCAGGCCCTGCTAGCACATGTTCTCACCAAGTGCTCTGACCAAGACCATGTGGCATAGACACTGTCCCTGATGGCCTCCTTCTCTAAGCAGCACCTGGAATTCAGATGGCAATGGAAACAAAGACTTTCTTCAACTACTGACAGAGATAGAATAGGCCTTGTGCCAGAGCTAGCACCCTGAATTTGAACTTCTACTTCCTGAATTAGAGAAATGATGATAGTTATAGAAAGGATTCAGGCCTTTTGCTTAGATATGTATCCTTTCCCATGTGTATTCTGTCTACATGCTGAACAAATCATTCAAAAACTTAGACTCTATGAAGAAATGTGTGGCATCTGAATAGGAGATTGGGCAAGCAGCAGAACGCTCCTGGTTGGGCATTTTTGGGTGATAAAAGCCAATGGGAATGTTGGATTATGGAGGAATGAGGAATGACGGTAATCACAGAGCTTGAACCATGCGTTGGTTCTTAAATTTGATTGGGCCTAAGGGCCACAGGCCTTCGGGCCTGGTTTTAATTGTTTTTGGTCAAGAATTCTTCTAAGTGGGATAGCACTGGTCTGTCCATTTGCTGGACAGGGGTAACTCATGGTTGCTGTGAAGCTGAACACTGTGACACTGAAGTGTCAAATGCGATAATGGTTACCCATGGTGGACAGTGTTTGGTGGAGTTCCCCAGTTCAAACAAACTTGGAAGCAGGAGTGGCATCCACTTCCGAAATAGCTTGCCTCCGTTAAATAAGTGTTTAGGTCTTTTGTTCATGGGGTTGCTATGAGTTTCCTATGACTCGATGGCACTTAACAACCACAACCTCCTGAATGGCAAGAGAATAAATTTTGTTTCTTAGGCTTTCCAGTTGTGGTTATAGAGTCACTGTAATAGAACCATCAGATATCATCCTTCTTGTTTTGTGAACTCACAAAAAACAACATGACATTGGAAGAGAACTTCCTGTGTAAAGTGAAAGAACTCAGAAGCAAACTAGATGGAATGAGAAATGGGGGTCATAATCACCATGGTGGCTATGATCAGAGAAATGGAAAACCATGAAGGTTGAGGAGGATGTGGAGAAATTGAGGACTAGTAGGTGTGTCCACTAGTGCAACCACTGTGGCTGGAAGATGATTTGGCCCCAAAGAGAAATAAAATATGGTCTGTACAACATGGATGAACTTGAAAATAATTCGGTTGGTGAAATCAACCAGGCACAAAAGCATGACTAATGCAACCTTGCACTTGTATGTGTCATCCAGAACAGACAAACATAGACAAAATTTGATAAGTAGTTTGTTCCTTGACTCTGGGAAATGAAAAGTTCTGCCTAGCAAAGACTGATTTTCTGTTGCGGATGAAATGCTTTAAGCAGAAGGTTGTACAACATGGTGAAGGTTGTCAATCCTATTGAAGTTTAAATGTGCATATGTTCACATAGCATTTTTATATACATTTTGCTATAATAGAGAAAAATATCCATTTGTTTATTATCTACTAGTCTAATGTGTAAAATAAAACTAAATACATAGATTGTTCGACTGATAAAAAAATATAGAACAAATTCTATCTGCATGCAAAGCTACTGCTCACTGGCTTATTTTTTCCACATACAAAGGGAACATCCTCTCAGTCCTCCCCGTTCTACCAAAACTACAACTAAAGAAGGAGAATCACAAGTGGGGACTTTTAGATAAAGACGCCTGTCCCCAACCATCAACATGGCTCCCTTCTTGAGCTGAGCAGTCGTAAGCAAGCACAAGGACAGGACAAGCCAGGTGCAAACTGGCTGAAGCAGTAAAAAACAATAATCCACTCAGCTTTCATGGGGCTATTGCCTTCCATCCAATGGGATAAAGCTATGGCCATCCTTAGGGGATCTATGGGTGTGATTCTGCCGCCTGAGGTTGCAAGTAACAAGTCAGGAATGTCAATAGGCAAAACTTCCTGAGGACATGTCTCTGGAAAATCTCCCTCCTGCCCTGGACCTTAAAGGCACAGACTCACAAGAGGGACTAAACATATCTGAAGGAACACTGAGGGGAACTTCACCCCCAGAACAAAGAGGACTGCAGATTAAAAATCCCTGCCGTTGGCTCTGGAAGGCACCCATTACTTCTCACTTCAACTAGAATCTGTGAGACAAAGTGTGTCTGTCACCCTAGGGGAGGTTCCCACACCCAGCCTAAGGCAATGGGAAAGACTTAGGAGACCATGACACTCAGAAAAGAGAAACTCCCAGAGTATTAGTCTATGCTGTAAGCTCTTGGGGACATCAGCAACCCTTCAAATCATCCCTGGAGTCTGAAGGACAAAGGGTTTCTTCTGAGGGGGCAGCCTCCATCCACTCATGGAGCAGTCCCAGCCTTGCTGAGAGTGGAAGGGAGGCCCGAGCTCAGAACAGAGTCTCCCAGAAAGTCCACTCCTGATTATCAGTCCTGGGAGGATTCAACTACCTCTCAATTCAGGTCCAGGATGTGAGAAGGTGAAGGTGTGTGATTGTTAATATGGTTTTAAGTAATGAATAAATATGTTAATCCAGGTCAATTCAAACGCGGATCTGAGGAAATGTAGGCGTGTGACTGTTAATATGGTTTGTTGATATGTCCATGAGCCTCAGTAGAATGTGACTTTGGTGTGGGCAAGAGAAGAAAAAAAACCCTAAAACTCGTTTTCATCAAGTCAGAACCTGCTCATAGCTGACCCTCCAGCAGGCTTTTAGTGGGTATAAATCACATGGGAGGAGATAGACCATTTTTCTTCCACAGAGCAGCCGGTGTAATTGAACAAAGAGAAAAGTGCTACTTTTGGGCTACCAGAGAAATTCTCTATGAACTAAGTCCCCTCCTAAGAGGTTGAAGAGGCAGGACTAGAAAGATACCATCAGTAATACTTAATTAAGGGGAGGTCTCCTCAGGGGTGTGGCCTGCATGGTATAAAAGTTTAAACCCTAGCCGGAATCCAAAGCGCTTTTTGTCTCCTTCACAGCTGCCTCTCTGGCTGTGTCCTCAAGACCCGAGAGCACGTGAGCAATTTTTAAAATTCGCTCTCTCTCTCTCTCTCTCTCTCTCCCCTCGCTCTCTCTCTTCTCTCTCTCTCTCCCTGCTCTATCTTGTCTCTCGCTCTCTCTCCTTTCATTCTCTCTCTCTCCTCTCCTCTCTGTCTCATCTCTTTCATTCTCTCACCTCTCTGTCACTCGTGTCTCTCTTTCATATCTCTCATCTCTCTCTCTCTACTCCCCCTTTCTCTCTCTTGTCTCTCTCCTCCTCCTTTCCCCTCTCTCATCTCTCTAGTATGTTTCTGTCTCTCGCTCTCGTGTCTGTGTGTGTGTCTCCTCCCCGCTGCTTTGGTCTGTCTTATCTCCAGAGCTCAGTTCAAGAAAGTTGTGCCTGATCTGGTGAACTAGGTCTCCCAGGGGAGGGTTCCAGGCCCTGCTTGGAGTAAAGGGAAGGTCTGAAGGGACACCACCTATCAGAACAAAGACTCCAAAGGCATGCACGCCTTCTGAGAGCCCTGAGAGGTCCTCAGCATGACTGTGCAAACCAGGGTCTCCTCATGTTTCCCTCCAGGACATCAGGAAGGTGGAGTGGAAGTTGAACAGCAGAGGGAGCCACATCTGAGCAGGACAAGGAAGTTCCCAGGTGCCACCAGGAGTCAAGGTGAGGATCTTTGGTGACTATGAAAGGTACTAGCCACCTTAGCAGAGGGGAGCCCACCCGAGTCTGCCTGGACCTTGTGCTCAGCCCTGAAAGGTACCAGTAGGGCAGCTCTCAAGACTTAGGGGCTTGGAGGAGGGTAAGAACTGGAGCACAAGGCAGGCTGTCCAGGCCTTAGCCAGGTGGAGGCGGCATGCGCTGGGGGAAAGGAGGGCTCTCTCCATCACAGATCTCGGGTCGAGGCCAAGACCTCCTCCATTCTGCCTCTGTTCTCACGGACAGTTGCCGAGGCTGATGCCGAGTCACTAGAATGAAGATTCATGTTCTACCAGGTGGCAAGATAAGGACCACGTTCCCACCCCCTCAGGAAGAGATGACCCCTTACCCCTCTCCTCCATCCACCCCATTGTTGCCCTGGGGAACCTCAGCAGCACCCCTGGGTCAACACCTACGTTAGCGTCTTAAAAACAGGTTGACCAGATGACAGGGGATCAGGAGAAAGTCTTTGTCAGAGCCATCATGGTTGAATTTCTCAGCTGAGGCTGTTGACTACACACTCCTTCTTCCTCTTTTCCAGAAGTCGACCACCACGGGCAACCATCAGCCATCCTCCTTCTGGTCGCCAAGACTCATCATGTCGCAGAAGAGTCAGGACTGTGAGCAGAAGGACGGGCTCCAGGAACAGAGCGAGCCCCAGAGCCTGGAGGGGGTGCAGAGCCCGGGGGCTGAGGAGGGGGCGGCTGCCATGGCCTCTACTGCCCCTTCTTCCTCCTCTGCTGAGTGTTCCCTGATCCCGGGACCCCAGGGGGAGGGGACTCCTTTGGGAGCAGAGAGTACACCCCAGAGTCCCCAGGGTGCCTCCTCCTCCCCCCAAGGGGCCATGTCAGCTGAGGGCACCAGCAGTCAGGAAGGGGCGGGTGCTAGTGCCCCCAGTGCCAAGTCTAAAACTGGGCGCAAGCACAGGAGCAAGCTAGATAAGACAGTGTGGCATTTGGTCAATTTCCTTCTCATCAAGTATCGGTATGAGGAGCTTACTACTAAGGAGGAGATCCTGGCTCTGGTTGTCAGAAAGTATGAGAGGCACTACCCCAAGATCTTCCAAAAAGCTTTGGAGATCATGCAGATGGTCTTTGGTGTGGAAGTGAGGGAAGTGAACCCCACCTCCCATACCTTTGTCCTGTTACCCTTTCTCGGGCTCACTTATGACAAGAAGGCGGAGAGCTATGCCCACACCTTGCCCAAGAACGGCCTTCTGATCACAGTCCTGAGTACCATCTTCCTGGAAGGTGGCCGTGCCAGTGAGCAGAAGATCTGGGAGTCACTAAAAGAGATGGATGTACGTGCAGGGCAGGAGCATTTTATTTACGGGGAGCCCCGCAAGCTCCTCAACCAAGAATGGGTGAAGAATGGGTATTTAGAGATCAGACGAGTGCCCCACAGCCAGCCTCCTTGCTATGAATACCTGTGGGGCCAGAGGGCCCACATGGAAACCAGTGAGTTCAAAATCCTAGAGCATCTGACCAAGATCACTGGCACTGCCCTTAGTTGCTTCCCCAGCCAGTATTTGCAAGCTCTGAAAGAGGGGAGGCACAGAGGTCCAGTCCCAGAGGAAGTTGGGGCTCTCAGCAGGTCCCTTGGTAGTATCCATCCTGGACCATATCTACCATTTCCTAAACCTTAAGCCTGGGGACAAAGTTCACTGTGAGACTGAAGAGAATAGTCAGCCCTCAAGGTAGTGGAGAGTCCAGGAGGGTGGCAGAGCATATAGCATGGATTTTGTTCTGATTCTAGAGGGCCCAATGTGGATACTCTTCTGTGTCTTTCTCCAGTAATTATCCAATTCTTGTTTCTTTTAATAAATGGTTTGAACTTCAGAATATTGTTTTATGAGTTCTATTATTTACCCTTACTTGTTCCTGAGTCAAGCAACTGCACAAAGCCTCCATCCTGATCTATGAACCTACCAAAAATTGGTCAGAAAGGAATACATGATTAAACATTATACAACCTGGGACAAGGGGTGAATTGCGGGGTAGGTTAGGGGAGGGGGAGATGGGGAAAGAAAATGTGCAACAATGAAAAAATTTTTAAACATATATAGTTTACCAAAATAAAAATAAACACATTATCTCAAGCATCTAGACATATCACAAGATCAGTGTTTTGGTGGGTTTTTTTCCCCCTCTTTCTATCACGTCCCCCACCCCAACACTGGGAGCTCTGGTAGCCAAGTCTTTCTGGGAGAAAGGTAATGTCCTCCCATGTGATTTACTGCCACTGAAAAACCGCTGGAGGGGATACTCAGCTGTGAGTCAACTCCATGGCAATGAGGCGCTGTGGTGGTTCTCTGTCGTGTAGCTAAAGGCTGGATTTGCTCCACTCACTGAGAGACCAAGGCAAAGAGGGTGTCAGATGGGGGGTCCCCAGGCTGGGGTGCCAAGCACAAATGCCCCCCCACAGCATCCTGGGACTCTGGGGACACAGCTCCTCCTGAGGACTGCCCTGTGAGAGAGAGGTCTGGGTGGACAGCTGCTCTTTGGGCTCACGTGGTATTTATTGCCTTACTGAACGCAACCAGTGGTTTAGATGGGAGAGGACCTGGGAGGGAGAGAAGG